GTGAGCGACTCCTGATATCAAAATCTTGTTTATTTGTCCAGAGCTAATTTCAGTAGCCAGATGGCGGAGCCTATTTCCACTGCATATAGCTTCGTTCTAAATTGCTTGTTTCGCCCTGGCTGTTTTTATGGTCAGTGGTCTGACTAGAGTAACCTCAGTACTGGCACGCAGGATTCTCCTTTCACTGTCACTTATAACAGATCCCGTCTGATCTGACGTGCATCGTGCAGATTCTCTTGAATGTTGCCCCCTAGTTTGGGATTGCACTTGGCTTTTTCTCGAATCGTTGATTTAGGTGTATATTTGGCACGTTTTTGTATTCTGCTACACTTTTCTCCACTGATTATTGACGTCGGAGAAAAATGCCTTCAGGTCATTGACTGTGCGCCAGAATTCCTCGATTTGAGCCCGAGTGAAGGAGAGGTCCCAGTTGTTGATAAACTAATAAGTTCATCATGGGTTTTGTTTAAGCAACCTTCATACCTTTTGACACCGAGTGGAGGTATGCTTGAAAGTACCGGTAACCAAGCCAGGGGATCCTAGGAAAAGCTTGTAATGATTCTCGTGATATGGCTAAAGATGGCATCGAGGCACCGTGAGTGGTTGCTCAGAGCCATGCGGATGCGCAGTATTCGACTATAGAGTAAAATGGCCATGGCTGCTGTTCACAGGAATAAGCATCGGTTCTCCAGTTGATTCTGGCAAGGTTGTACCTCGTGTTGTATCAAAATATCGAAATGTAAAATGTTGTGGCGAGCAGATTTCATGAATCTTAGGCAACCTACTGTTTCACAAGCAGCTAAATATGATAACGCCAAAAAAAAACAAATTTTCAAGGATTCTGCAAGTCTCCGAAGTTGCGAAAAGAACTGTTTTCATGAAGCGGGTTAGTAGAATTTATTTATCCTTTGATGACTTTTGATTCTTCAGCAACGATCTCTCAGTGCAAACAGATTCTCCCTCTTCTCGAATTGACGGTACGTAGCGTTAATCTGGAGAGACTTAAAGGACTTGTCCATGGTTTCAATCACAGAGACAAGTTCTGAGTACTAAACAGGTTATTCGAGGATCAGGTACTTATCAGGATCCCTAATCACCCATTTCTTAGCCACGTTTTGAACTGATTGTGCTATTTTTGTGATGTCAGTTGCCGTCTTTCTTATGGTAGTGGTTCATTAATCTATTCT